AGCTATGTTATTAATAATTCATAAATCATATCGATAACGATATCTTCATAATATTAAAGATGATTGTACGAAGAGGTTTGAAAAAAATAATAGAATTGGCCACAAACAAACTATAAATTCCAAAAATTGCCGGCTTTTTATTTTAAAATTAAAGGTCATCTTAGCAACTAATTTTTTCTTTTTCCTTTTATCTTCGGAAAATAATTTAAAAAATACTTTAATTTTAGCGAAAATTATTGTTACGATATTAAATTTTAAACTTTACGAAGAACCTTTTAAATAGTAATGTATTCACGTGTACATATCTATAGCTTTAAACTATACTATTAAATAGTTCAGACGTAAAATATTATTTCAAAATTTGATATCGTTTATGCAAGAAATATTACAAAATAAAAAAAAATACAATCCAGAAATAGTATTTAAAAAAATTAGAATTGTAATATAATTTGTTTGAGTACATCAAATCATATTATTTTAAAAATATTCGATGTGTAGTTTCTCAACTTAATTAAATCAATAAATAAAATCTCAAGGAAATTAAAGAAAATAAATAACATAACCATGGAGTAATGTTTTTATTCCTTAATATTATTTATTAATACATTATCCACTAGTTAAAATCATTATATTGATAATTTATTTTCTTTTAAAAAAACCTTGTCACTTAGTTAATTTTAATGTATAACTAATCTCTTTTTAATATTATAAATATATTATATATATTTATTTGTTTGTTTTGTTTTTAATGTAGTGTTTGGCTAATTACGTTTGTCTATTTAAACCATAAATTAAAGGGACCTACACATTTTAGATTTTATAATCCACCCATTAATTTAATTGTGGAGAGAATATGACAAGTGTGTCAATTTTGTCATCCATTACTATTTTATCTTCAATAAATTATTATTAAAAAGGGGGGAAAAAAAGAGAGAAGGGTCTGCAAATATATAATTATAAATTATATGGAATATTTTGATTATTTTTACTTATTAAAAGGAGAGACCAACTCAAATTTTATTTATAAAAAAAAATTGTAAAAGTTTGAGTTATAATAATTTGACAATCTCAGAGTATCTCAATTTCAAAATAATATATGTATGCACTAACATCCATATTATAAATTATAAGTATATGTTCTAATTAAGTACAATCTTTTTGGTCTAAATTAATTTGTATATATCTAATTGTTCCCTATCTCACCTTCATTGATTAGACATTACAAGAACAATAATTGCTAAGGATGAATTTTATAATAATTTTGTCTCAAAATAAGAATGAGATAAGAGTAATGTGTTAATGAAGGTTAATTATAGGAGATAGTGATATTTTTATATAATTTGTATAAATTTTATTCTCGATGTTGAGTTTCATATGAAAATTGTACATATACTTCGGATGTTCAATTCTAAACATAGGAAAATGTTACATAGAGAGGCGGAGCCAGAATTTTTAATATAAGGGTTCAAAATCTGTAAAAATAGACACATTAAGTAGCCGAAGAGGGAGCGACTACTATTATATATACATATAAAATTATTTTTAAACCATATATAAATAATATAATTTTCGTTGAACCCCTTCCTAAAAGTTAGCTCCGCCCCTAGTCACAGAAGTCTCACATCAGCGAGCGATTATGAAATCAGTAATCTCTTTATATGACTTTGACATACATATAATTTTGCCGACTATTTTAATTTAAATGATTGAGCGGATTATTAATCATTTAGTTAATTTACCATTAATCATAGCTTAAACAAAAGGATAAAAAATGCAATCTTTAAAGAAAAAAGGTATCTAGTTAAAGAGTATTAATTTTCTCACAATTAAGAAAGGTAATTCCAAAATTAAATTTCCTTGATATACCAAAATTAATTTACATCAACCTAATAATAGGAATTTTTTTTTAACTTAGAAAAATATCTTCATTTTCTTCCCTATATATATATATATATATATATATATATATATATATATATATATATACTA